TGTTATTGTCAGGCAATAAAGCCGAAGTTTCAGTCCGGTCAGGGTACAGAGGAAGGACAATTCTGTAGCTAGACATTTTCACGTCCTTTTTTGATAGCTGCTTTTTCAGTTGTGAAGTCCTTCATTGTAGAATTTTTTGGGGCAAGGATAGATTGAGTCCAAGACACCAATGTTTACCTACTCCATGTAATGTTGTATTGTTTTAAACCCTGAAAATTATGTCAAGGTGCCACCATGATAAATGTCTTTCAGCTTAATTTGAACTAGTGTGTGCGTCTGGTTTTATATAGCGTAAGCTTTTTTTACCTTGCACTATTTCTGGAAATAGTGCCTCTGTGTCATTTGTACGTGACTCTTCCTTTTCTTTTTAGAAACCACAAGTATAAATTGTGATGCAACACCCAACCTACTCACGCTGTCAGGCTTTTTGGATGAATATACAGGTAAAATCATTATTCTATCCTAGAAGTGTCTGATTTGCTCCCTAATGCGCATAGTACTTTAATGCTTCACATAGTCAGCATATTTTATAATAAGTCTGTATTATTGATTGATTTACAATAGTCTTCATGGCCGGATGCAGCAGCTGCCTACATGGCATACTGCTTAATAGAATAAATAAATATAAAAACCAAAATTCCCTGGTCCAAGGATCTCACTGTCTGAATAGACAGAGCAGGCAAAGGGAAAGGAAACAAATACAGAAGAATTGATGTTTACAGTTCACCTTGTCCCGTCAGCCCACAAGAGCTGATCTCTTCCTTCCCTCCTACATCAGAAGGAACCACTGCCACCGCAGCCCTGCTCTGCTTCCGGAGCTCTGCTCTGCTTCAGACTGGAGCCTCTCTGAAAGCCCATTTTTTGTTTTGTTGGGGCAGTAGGGAGAGCAGATGGGGTGCGGAGGAACAAGCAGGCTTGCAGTACAGGGAATTACAGGATCAATGCTGGCCACTCGATGTATTTGCATTTTCTATTCTAGTTTTCTTTGTTAGTGTAGCACACTCTGTATTATTCTGATGATTATTTAATTTGTGCAACCTGACAGGGTTAACATTAATTTAACCCCATGTTTTCTATGCTTCCTTAGCCTAGCTGGCAAAGTGTGGCTGTTCCTTGGAGACAAAATCCCACATTGGGGAAAGTACAGTGACCGCACAGTGCAGAAGAGGAGTAGACAGTACTCTTTTTTTTTTTTTTCCTTTGTACTTACATTGCAAATGCAGTACAGAGGATAACTCCATCCTCCTTTCTTCCCACCACTAACCAGAGAGGTTACTGTTGTAAGCTAAAGGGTAGGGCTGTTGTCTGTGACTACGCTGTCTGTTAGAGGCAGCCCCGCAGTCGGGATTTGACTTGCCTAACAGATATACAGCTATCTCACAAGGCGAAGCGTTAGGTTATGGCCAAAGCGTTCCCTCCAGGATATGTCATAACCCTTAGGATCTCATGGAAGCATGCACCAGGCCCATGCTGACTGTCCACAGGCAATCTTCATTGCTTCTGGCTTTCAGCAAGATACAGAAAACGGGTATGATACAGAGCAGTGCTTTTTTCCAGCCACTGTTGAAATGTTTCTTTCAAAGCCATAAGGGCGTAGCTACTGTATCTGACTCTTGCATGGAGATAGAAAGGAAAAGAATCGCCTTTCACCCTGATTCCTCGCCATTTAATTTTTAAGCGACTAGCATGAAGTCTGGCCCTTCGTGTGCGTCATATGTATGAGTGTACCTGCTGACATATCTGTAATGAATAAGCAAGAGGGACAACCAGCTTCAATTTTTCCAAGCACTTCCTTTTTGTTAGGCTCTCTCTGCTGGACGGATTACTATTTCTGCTTGATATTTCTTATCTGATTATATCCAACTCTGGATGGAGGATTAGATGGTGTATCAGCAGGCAAAGATAGATTTTGTTTTCCTAGAACGTTTTCTTCCAACAGTTTCAACACTGCACGCTAAACAGTGTGATACCACGCAACACCGTGCCCCTGGGACACAGCCCAGTTGTTCTGTGTTTACTGCCATCTGACTGGACTTTCTCCTTACACGCAATTATAGTCGGGTATCTTTGGGTTGGTAGCTGACAGCATTCCAGACACTCCCTGCTGTTGGAAGAAGACAAAGTTCCCTTCCTTTAGACCCTTAGAGACCAAACCGGGAGTCTGCATGTGGAGTTTAGAGATGGGGCTGTTACAGAAAGGATTTACTAGCCTAAATTAATAATGATGGAGTACAAAACCAATGGAGTAAGAAAGAAACACAGCTAGCAAGTTTCCTGAAGATCATGGAAAATATTTGGGATGTTCAGGAACGATTTTGGAGGGGAGAGGGGATTATGGGTTTGTGATCCAGATAATGTATTCCATGAGAAGATAAGCATTATTTCGTAAATGCAAATATCTTGATAATATGAGTAAGGTAACTTTAATCTATTTAGTAACATTTCCAGTAGCACCACACTGGATGGTTTAAAAGGATACCTTTTGAACACACTTTCAAACAAAGATTTGGTGTTTAACCAAGCAAGTAATACACTCACTACTGAAATGATAATGAGTCCAATATGAATGATGATAATTACAAATAACAAGTTTTAAGATTTTCAGGACAATAGTTCCTAAATGCGTGATTGTAGAAAATCACGTTCAAATCCATTCAAAGGTTGCGTTCTTTTGTGTTTCAGTATTCTGTCCATATAGGAACAGATTAAAGGAGGGGCCACACGCTTACCGTCCTGTGCCAAAATCAAAATTTAAACAACCACAAGCCTGAATCCAGATTCACACTGGATTCTACCTGCTTGATAGATTCAACTACGCAATATGAAATGCCCTTGTGTTTGGCAAATACTGAATCTCCTCCCATATAGCCCAAATTCAGCCTCTCACTGATTTTGATTACATTCCCTGACTTTGATTACACTTTGATTATATTTTCACACTAAATGTGAAAAATGTTTTGCAGCATAAAGCTATTTCCAGAAAATGGAGGAACTCCAGGTGTAAGCTGTAAGCTTTTTAATGCTGGATATATTGTTACAGAGTGTGAATATATTGGAAAAAGTGGGTTTGTGTGGTTTTAAAAACTATCAATACACTTGTGCACAGTATTTAAGGGGACTTTAACAGATCTCACTGTTGAGCTCATAATGCCAAAATAACATAAAATGTAATCAAAAGGTAACCAGTAATCTAGTTGTCAATACATGTAAAATGAACCTATGGATTTCTTTTCCATAAAGCAATCTGATTTATTATGCTTTCTCTTACAGGTGATATAGAAAGGATTACAAATATCCCACCCAATGTGAAGTTGAAATTAAAAGAATATCTGTTCCCCGAACACTTAGAATATGTGGAGTTAATACATAATTCTGGCTCTAGTAATGCAACAGTGAGGACTCTTAAGCCACTGGATGTTGATTCTATTGAGGTATTCTTTTCACTGCATGCAAAACCTAGATATAAAGGTTTTATTGACAGGTGAAAAGAAGTAGCACTAAGACATAAATTTTAATTGTTCATTCCCTCACAATACAGGTTGGTATTCCAAAAAAGTGACTCATCAGAAAGAGCAGCATAGACTTCAGTATCTACCTCTCAGCAAAATCTGTTAAATGTCTTCAGTTTCCTGTAACTGTAAACTTATCTGGGATCTGACAGTAGTCAGACAGTTTCTTTCCTAATCGTGGATTGTCACTTGTAATGACAGTTGTAAATATGCAGTTATGATAGGTGTCACTTTTTTCTTAAAACTCATCTCTCAGTAACATGAATTATTTCATCGAGTGAGATTGATCAGATATAATTTGGTAGAAGGCAATACTTAATCATATGAATATTTATACAAGTGCTTAACTTCACACATGGATAGATCCATTGGCCTCTGTTGGCTGAGGCACAAATGGATAGGTCCTTCTTCCTAGGCCATTCTCGCTCTGTAGGACTACCAGGAATCTATAAAGCAATATTAATGTTTTTCCTGGCTGCAGTTGCCTCCGAATATGAAAATGGTGTAGTTCTACAGGAGTAAATGGAGGCTATTTTTCGTACAAGTACTGTTTCAGAGTAGCACTGTACTTGACAGAATTGAACCATACATATTTTAAAAAACACTGTTACAGTCAAGACTTCTAATTGTTGAAAATGTATTTACAACTTTTACATTCACATTTCTCATTTGGATGTTTTCCAAATGGCTTAAAACAGTTTTTATGCTTCTTACACATATTCTCCCATTCTCTGTCAATTTTCTATTGGGGAGAACAGTCGGGTACGTGGATGGTGGGATCTGGGTGGGTAGATACCAGCAGTAGATGAATGGCAGCCAAATAAACTTTACGATTAATAATCTGTAATGACTTTGCTATATATTATGAGCAGTGTGTTTTGGTACAACATACTGAAATGACAAAAATAGCTGAAGTATGCTCCTGTAACTGAATCAGATGAACAATTCACTGTCAACTCGGAATGGCATGCCTGAGGATTCAAGTACCAGAAGTGTTTTGTATGACTTTGACATAAATATTCTTTGACAATCATATTAGGAGTTCGTAGATAATATTATTTACTTGCTTGTTTGTTAATTTTTAGAGTGGCCATCTCTTTTATGCTGTTGTTTGCCAAAGGAGTGGAATGGTAAGTAAAAGATGTGTTTTATCAACCGTATTTTTTGTCTAAGTTTAATGCAAATTATTATCTTCTGAAATACTATTTCATTTAAAGATATGATGCAGGGGGTTAAGACTACCTTGTAGAAGATATATTTGTTTAAATGTGCCAATTGGAATGAGTGTTTTTGTTGACAGAAAACCTAAGGTAAATTTTAAAAAGTTAATTTTAAAATATTTTCACAAACTTTCTACTCCATTATTAGAAATGGTAGTCTAACTCTCTCATTACAGTTTTTAGAACTGAAGGGGTATCTCTTTGAAGATCTCATTGTATATGATGAAATTAAATGTTAGCAGTATGCTGCTACCTCACTGCTGTCATTTCTAATGTGTCTTTTGCTTCCATTACGAAGATTAATGAGATAGAGAATGCACGGGACTTAGCCTTAGAAGACGTAAATGACAACTCTCCACAATTTCTACAAACTCACTATAGCACTTCAGTATCAGAGGTGGGTTATGGTGAATGTTAATATTTTTTTCTTGTGATATTTTTAAATTACTTTCTGGGGCCAAAACATATGAGGTTCTAATGTGACCACACTCATACCGGATTATTACATGCACTCTTATGGGACTTTTCTACACCTTCACGTGGGCGTGGAAATGGCTGGGCTGTGTGTACAGCTGGAGGCATGGGGTGAAGAAGAAACATTCAGCTCTCCGACCTAAAACGGACGTTGGAAGTAATTTGCATATGCTAAGGAGGTGGCGCAGCTTTCCTGCCAGAAGTTAGGAGGGATACCAAAAAGGGCTTGTGACTGGGCGTTTGATGATCTTTATTTCCTCTAGGTATCTGCCATAAATTTCACAGTTATAAAAGTGGAAGCTGTGGATAAAGATTTTTCACCTTTCTTCAGCATCATTACTTACAGTCTTCGGGTGAGTGCCTTTTGTTTGTCAGAGACTGTGAACACCAGTCTACATTTCGTACGAAATACAGCCTGGGACCTGATCCAAGTATGCTGTCTTGCACTGTGCGGTTACTATTACAAATCTGCAAAATGCTAGCATCAGAAAGACCATTTAAAATTAGAATTCGTACCGCAGGATCAGCCTAGCATGCAGTGAGCCCTGAATCTTGTTTCTTAACATTTGTGAAATGTTTTGTGGTACTCTTCAGCTACAGCTAGGGAACTCGGTGGTCCTTTTTAGAAGCAGCAGCGAAACAGTTTCCCCTCTTTTTAAAGTTTGTATTTGATTTGCTGTTCATCTCCAGTCCTGCTGAGGTGTATATGTAAGCCACCTGAAGTAAGATTATTTCAACTAATTTTAGGTATCTGCAGTGGAGATCTTCACATCTGAGCTTGCTGTCTCTGCTCCTTTTATAGCTGGTGAAGGGAAGCTGATCCCATTCATCTGATCTGCTTTAGTTATTGACCATAGGATGAGAGAAGTCAGATAGAAAGTCTAACGGCACTGATGGGATAGGCAATAGAATGTGTTGAAGAGGATCAGCATTTTCCTTTCCAGTGGTGGTGTTTGAGAGATTCCTGGTCCTTTATGAAGAATAGTCCAATAATAAAGGTGGTAAGAGAAAAGAAAACATATTTCATTGTTAATCATGTAAAATATTTTTTTTATTCATTTAATAGGGTCCAAACTCCGATTACTTTTATATAAGGGAAGGAGATGGAAACATCATGGTGAATAAAACATTGGATTACAACAAGATCAGCCTTTTCAATTTAACAGTCCAAGCAAAGGTATGATATAAATTAAAAGAAGAACGAGAACCACAGTAGTTCTACAATGATACTTCCTTTGTTATAACATCCCAGTTTCTACAAATTTACAGCTTGGGGAGTTCCCAAGCCAAAAGTTGTGTCTGCATCTTGGCTTACACTGCAGACAAAGTAGCACGTTCTTAATATTTCAGCCATTGTTTAAGTCTCCCCTCAAATACCAGCCCAACTTTCCTTCTGTGTGTAATTCTTTAAGTAAGTATATTGTACATATTTATTCTCCACTATTCTGACATATATTCACCTCTTCGTTCTGGCGAATCTATCCTATTTTTGCTGCGTCTTACCACCTGCAGTCTTTTCATGTGTCTTTTTTGAGATTTGAATATACGTTTGCCTTCACTTCCTTTTAGAACTAAAAAGAAGTGATTTTGCCACATTTATTGTGGCATCTAGCAAACAGTACAGCTGCAGCAAATGTACTGTTACTACATTCTACATGCTACTGTGTAACACCTGCCTGATATAAAATTAATAACTAAGAACAATTACCTTTTTATAGTGTTATTCCTAGAACTGGATTTCTAGAACTGGAAAAATATGACAGGGTGAGAGTTCTCGGGTTAAAAATGCTTAGACACTACAAAGCGCATATAATAATATTCTGCTGTATTTTCCACTGAGAAATGGCTTTTTCATTGCAGTGTTTCTTATTTTCTTCCTTCTCTTGGGATGCAGGAAAAATTTGGAAACAACAGCGATACTGCATCGTTACTAATTAATGTACAAGATTATGATACATTGAACCCTTATTTCAGTCAATCAGTGTACAATGGAAAAATCAGCGAAAACCAGGTAAAAGCTTTTCACTGAATGCTGCAAACGTAAATAGGTTATTCCTGTCCACAGTGCTTTTCTTTCACGGATTCTTCGTCACTGAGCAGCTTAAGATGGAGGGCTGCTTTGTTTTGTGCTAATGGGTGAATTGTAAGGTTATCAACTGTAGACCTCCAAGTACCAGGTAAACAGGCCACGTATTATATGAAGCATAAAACTTTCTGCTACAGAAACAGATTCTTTTGTGTTTGGAGGAAAAAAAGGAAAGGAGAAAAAAAAAAGAACTAAACAGGTGTTGTAACAGGGCTTTTACTGTAAACTTGGAAGGGCAGTTGACTGCCCATCAGTCCTGGAGTTAGCTGCCTGGTTTCAGTTTTAAATAGTGTAATTCCTTCATACTCCATTACAATCAGGTAAGCAAAATAAGAATCCGAATGGTAAACTATGGTTTATATTATATTGTAATTTTTTTTTTCTATATAGGGTGGAAATTTCTGGGTGGAATGTGTTTAACTCAGGCTTCTGTATGCATTGACCAAAAAAACCAAAATCACAGTATAGTATTACTGGAGTAATTCACTAAAATTAAAATAGTTAATTATCTTCCTTATTATCCCTATTTCTTTATCATTATCTTCATGTTAACATATTTTAAACCACATATGCTTTTGGTGTTATACCTGTGGTGTCCCTTTTGTTAGAAGTTCATCTTTAATTGTTTGAAAGGAATCATTTTAGATCTTCTAAAATGTTTTTATCTTTTAAATAAATTACTGTTTTTATTAGAGCTGTAGTGTAGACTTGCTTATTGTTTTCTGGGAGAGGAATGGAACTGAAATATTCAGTGTTCTTAACATGAATTCCATCAATGACTACTGCTTCATAGTCTGGTGTTTCTCAAACACAGCGTACCCATCAAGTATTTTGGTCATCATTTTCCTCTGTAAAGCGTGTATGGCAGAGAGAGAATATTTTCTGGATCCCAGTGATTTAAATAGATGTTTCTTGTTTCTTCAATCAAAATTGTGACTTAATGAACATTTTTAAGTTTATGTGTATTTTTTTTGTCAAGTTAAACAAGTTAATAATATGTTTTCTAGTTGGGTCCTCTGGCTATTCTCCCAGAGAAGATCTTGGCTAAAGATGGAGACACAGGTATAAATGAAAAAGTAGTTTACAGCATCAAACTAGGTAAGAGCCTTTATTTTCTTCCGGACGTTCACACAGTAATTTATGATGTCTCTAGTACTGAAGAGAGCGATAAGGAAGTGCAGTGTACAGTCAGATGTCTTAACTGCATACATCTTCGCCACAGTGCTGCTCCGCGAGCTAAATTGGCTTAATTTCAGTCATTATAGCAGGGTACAACTGTTTTAAAAATGTTTAGATGTTCTTAGCCTCCCTCCAATAAACAATTCCTGATTCAAAGTGCAAGTCAGTTTAGAGGCTTCCATTTGATCAAAGGATTTCCATTCAGGACCATCTAGAGAGATCAATTCCATCGGGAGCTTTTCCTCCTCCTGACAGAATTGCTAAAAGCTCATGAGATGCTTAATTTGAGACCCTTGAAGTGTGAGTGAATTTCCTAAGATTTGTTTTGAGGACAGAGCATTTGAAAAACGCTCTTTTATGAGCGTTTTGAAAAACATTCTTTTATCTGGAATGTCTGTTCATTTTTACTATCACTGAGAAGGTTAACAGTCATAAAAAGGGCAGATCCGACTCACTGTTCTGGTTCATTCTCATTAACCCATTGCAATTTGTTGCTTTTCAGTGAACCCCCCGGCCTATAGCAACACCTTTTCAATCAATGCAGACACTGGAGTGTTGGAAGTAGAGACTGCAGTTGACAGAGAAGAATGTCCGTATCTTGTCGTGGGCATTCAGGTAGTGATTGTTTTACAGTTCAGTGTGTTAATACTGAGTCTCAATTTCATAAAATAATATCTGAATCCATGTTGCTGTTAACAGTATTTCTCATAGTGATGTTAAAGGGCAGTTAGTATCAAGGCTCCATCCTGCCACTTAAAACGCAAAATGAAGGAAAACCTCATTGATTGAATATATGCAGTCATGTCATGTCCTTGTGTTCAGCTGGAACGGCTTACTGTTATCAGGATATGGAATTTACAGCTACAAACTCTGTTTTCTAGGCAGCTCAGCAAGACAATATTTTCAAAACAGCTGATGCAGTAGTGCTGGTTACTATTGAAGATGTGAATGACAATCATCCAGTTTTGTCACAATCAAGTTACAATGTCTCAATTCTAGAAAATTTCCCAAATGGGGTGGAAGTTCTTCAAGTAACAGCTGTTGACAAAGATGAGGTAAAATGACAATGTCGTTACGGTTGCTACAAATGCTGCACTTCTGAAATATAATATAAAATGCATTTGTGTTATACAGGCATAGTGAATAGTGCTATAGATTTTTTTTTTTTCCTGACAACCTAAATATGCTTAGGCAAAACAAACTTAATTTCACTTCTTTAAGGGGTAGAGTACTGCAGCCAAAGAATAAATTTTGACTGTCTCAAACTCCTCTGGTTTGCATAAGGTCCCAAATATGAAAGTGCAGAAGTGCAAAATGGACACAAAGCTGCACGTCATCCTCAGCCTGCATGATATGTTTCTTCCATGTTGTTTGCTCCTCTCCCTTTTTTTTGGAACTGTAACGTCAGTTAAACCAGAAAATTAAATGCTCTCTACCTGGAAAATAAAAAGAAAATATCCTAAGGGACTAGCTCAGTGATTGTCCTATTTAATAACAAATATCATTACTGTTTGCAGGGAGGCTTCCAGGGAACATTCATTCTCACTCCAGATGACAGTCCCTTCCAGCTCAGTGAAGCTGGGATCCTAACTGTGAGGAACTCCACATGGTTGGATAGGGAGAGAATACCATCTATTCACCTACAGGTATTAAAAATAAGCCTACTCCTTTCCAAAGCAACCCGAGGCAAACAGGTGATATCTGATCTGTCCTGGCAAGAAGCTGACTGTCTGATATGGATCAGCAGCTTATTTGAAGAATCAAGTCCAGACTATCTGGAGGGAAATACCACTAGTGATGCAGTTTACTCAGCTTGTGATTGTCGTTCATTCTTCTTACTACTTATAGAACATGCATTTGAACAAAGCAATCATTTTACTGCCTCATTTTTAAAGGTCACTGCTAGAGATCATTTGCCACCTAACGGTGAGGTACACTCTACAATCAACATATTGTTGCTAGATGAAAATGACAACAGCCCAACCTTTAGAGGCACGCCATATAAGCAAGATATTTTCATCAACATGACTGCAGGAATGTCCATTCTTCAGGTACTAGAAGTACTAAGTAAAAATGACATTTTAATGAGTTGAATGTATGCATGAGTCCTTGCTTGACCTTGAGTAGTGGTCATGTTGAATAGGGGATCTTTTTTGAACTCAGAGTCTGAGTTCAGAAACAATCCCCCTTTCATTTAAAAGCTTACATCTGTTGATGTTCCATAATCACAAGTGTCCTGGATGCTCTAATCGTATCCCAGGTCAGGGAACAAATGATAAAGGACTTTTATTCTTGATCTTAGATGCTGAGTACCATCCTGAATTCCACAAACATAAGACGGAAAATAAGATTCTTGGATTTAGTTGTTGTAAGGCGTTTAATGAAAACTGAATGTTGTTAAATTTCTGGACTCTAAATAATCGTAAAAATTTTTGAAAGGCTGCCGAATGCTGAAACACTGTTGATAATTTTTAGATACAATATACTTTTTGTAAGCTAGTAAACCAGTTAACCAAATAAAACAGGAAACCAAGATAAAAATCTCTTCAGGAGCTGCGATATATAGGGAGCCACTATCAAAACTCATACCCAGGTGTACTGACTTAATGGCTCCTGATGTAATCTCCTGAACAATCTACCTCCAGTGACTTTGGAATTACTGTGAAACAAGCTTTCTGAGACACAAACTTGGTGTCATTCCCATGAGTTCCACAGGGGCAGGATTTCACTCTTGCTGCTGGCATGATATTGTGTGTGCATCAAAGAGCAAACATTCTTACTGAGGTTTAACCCAGGAATCATATAGGAAGTACACAGTCAGTCAGTTAAAGGTAGAGCCGAATTTTACTGTGGCTATATTTAGCTGATTTTTATATATATAAAATTATCCAGACCTATTATTTGCTATGAATGAGAGGAAAAAAACCCACAACTAATTCCTAATTATCTGCTACCTCAATGATTTTCTCTGCAAGCTACACAAGAATAAGTAATTCTGTGTTACTTGATAACAGCACAAGAAACTAAAGTAAACTTTTTTTTTTTTCCTCCAGGTTGCTGCTGATGATCCGGATGATGGTATAAATGGCGAGATCAACTTTATCTTAGCTGGTGGCAACGAAGATGGATACTTTGAATTGGATACATCCACAGGACAAATCAGTTTAAAAACAGTAATCCCATTAGGAATCAACCAGGTTAAGAACTTTGTCCTGTGGATAACAGCTATTGATGGTAAGACAAGATTTTAGTACAGGTCAACGCAGCTATTCCTGGCGATGAGTTTTTGTTTGGTTTGGTTTTTTTACTTGAAGGAATGCTGTCAAAATAGGTTCCCAGACTTTATTTTAAAAATACCATATATTTTTATCTGGTCTTGTTTGTTGAAGATAAGAAGAAAGCTGTCTTATTCATCCAAAGTAATTGCTGCATCTCTGCTGCTGCTGTTATATGAAATCTAAGTTTTCTTTATGGCTATGGGAAGAACGTGCAAAATAACGTATGTCTCTCACCTTCCTTTAACTTAATTATTGACTGGTGTTGCACAGCGTAGAATACAGAGATTCAGGCACAAGCTAGGAACTTATAATTCAGTCATCAGTCAACAGAGGGTAAAATGAAAGTAAAATGTGATGAGTAACTTGGTCTTTGTTTGCCCATCCATGTGGGTATTGAAAAACTAAAATGGAGATGCCAAAGCCGTTTTTAGGACAACCAGCACAAACGTCATTTCCTTAGCCATATTTATTGAGGGTTTCTTTGTTTTAAAAGAATAACAGAGAACTCGGCGAACATTCATGATCTGAATAAGGACAAAGATAAATGTAACCCAGGAATGGTATCCCAATCCTGGTAGCATGAGCATACAAAGTGTTTTTCAGCCTCCCGATTTTCCCGATTTGGTCAATATGAGCTCTGCGTCTTCAAATTTATGGCCGTGTGGATAAAATGGGTACTGGGGGAAATACGGTTACAAAAGAGATTCATCAGTCCATCCTTTGTCTGTCTGTCTCTGCTAATATTGTTTTGTGTATTCAGGTTCATATATTGTAAGTCTAACACCCAATGCGTGAAACTCTGATCTTGGTTAGCACCTTTCAGCAGTACCATAGTAATAGCAGTAAGGATTGAAAAAATTTTTTTTAATCAGTACCGGTGAAAAAGTATATTTATTTTTTTAGGTAGAAGGTATTTTGTGCATCTGCTGGGAGATTGTTTTGTTTTGCTTGCAGGTGGGACGATTCCAAGAAGTTCATCAGTGCCAGTACAAATCTTTGCAGTTGGAGATTCCAGACCACAGTTTATTCAGAAAACATATAATGTGTCTGTGGAAGAAGAGCTAGTCAGTCCTGTTGAAGTAGCAAGAGTAAGAACAACTTTATTCTATCACTTGTATAGGACATGACAGCTATAAGAAAATCCGGTAATATATGTGCTCTAAATGTCTACAACCCCCTGAGTTATGGATAACTAGATGTTGTGGGGTTTTTTGCATATCAGGCTTCACATACATTACATACTGATCACATCCCTCAGATGAAGCCTATCACCCATGAAGCCTATTCGTTCCATTGCAAATCTTTAAACAGCATCTGCTACCATTTAATGTTAAAAAAATCAAACAAACAAAACCTAAAAAAAACCCCAAACCCAACAACAACAACAACAAAAACCAAACAAAAAACCTCAAACAAAATAAACCCCAGAACTGCTTGGGAAAGTAAACTCTCATGCTTAGCCCTTTGTTGACTTTGGACATTCTCCAAAGCCTATCGTAGCCCAAAGGCTAGGATAGGCAATATTCACTCATCTGTTGGTGATAAATCTAAAACCCTGTGACATGATATAGCTAGGAAATGGAGACTCCCCATCAGAGAACTGTCATAAAGGCGTTTTCAAAGAAGGCTCCGGAACTTGCTCCTCATTTTGATCAAAAAAAATGCTCAAACAGGCCACCAGAATGCACTGTGATAGCTCCTTCTTAGATGCAGTTCTGAAGACAGAGGGGAGGTCTGATACCAAAGCAGTGAGAAGATAAGGCGTTTTAGTGTTTTGATTTATTGACTTCCTGAGTTAATTAATTTTTCACTACTTTTTTGAACAAAGAAAGGCAGAACCAAAGGTTAAAGTGCAGTCTATTATTTTTATTATGTATAATACATATTCACATTTCTGTATTAGTGATGTTCCAATAAAAGGTAGTCCTCTCCAGCTGTATTTTTATATATATTGTGGCTTGATTCTTACTTCTTTTAATGAATAAAATTAGTAAGATAAGTCTAGACATAGTTAAAACCATTATTGTTTTTTAGACAGTGGTTTATTGGTTTGAATTCACTTATGGATAATATGCTGTGTCTTACACAGGTAGAGTATGAGTCTTTAAATCCCCATATACCAGTTACGTTTCAAGTACTGACGGAATCTGCTACATTTGGCATCGATGTCAATGGAATCATCTCGACAAAAACCAAACTGGACTATGAATCCCAGAAGAATTATACACTGAATATTTCCTTGTCAGATGGAAATGCTACTGACTATGCTTCAGTGTTTATCAAAGTTACAGATGTCAATGATAACCGTCCTGTGTTGGACATAACCAGCACTACCGTTACCATTCCGGAGAATGTTCCAGCTGGAACTAGTATTACCAGTGTGTCAGCTACGGATGTGGATGAGGGTTTTAATGGATTAGTGGTTTATACTCTGAAAGGTGGAGAAGGAAAAATGGATATTGACGCTTCAGGATTAATTTTGCTGGGAAAGAAATTGGACAGAGAAACACAAGGCTTCTATAACTTAACAGTGATTGCCAGTGACCAAGGCCAACCTGTGCTGTCTACAGCTCTCAATTTGACAGTCATCATTGATGATGTGAATGACAACCCTCCAGTCTTCTCATCAAGTAGATATGAAGTGAGTGTCCCTGAAGACGAGGTGCTTGGAAGGGCACTGCTGACAGTATCTGCTATGGATTTGGATGCTGGGGCCAATGCTCTTGTGAAGTACAGAATTGTTAGCCAGCAACCTCCAACCTCCTCGCCGGTGTTTCTTGTCAATTTGACCACAGGCCAGCTCAGCCTGAGCCAGCAGCTGGATTATGAAACCATAAAGCAATTTAAAGTTGAAGTGGAGGCATCGGATGGAGGGCAGCCAAGTCTCAGTGCTAAAACACTTGTTGTTGTGCATGTACTAGATGTCAACGATAACCCACCAGAATTTAATCAGGCAGCTTATCATATATTTGTGTTTGAAAACCTACAAAAGGGTAGTCCTATCTACACATTCAGTGTTACTGACAAGGACGAGGTAGGTACCAAATGAATCTCATCCTGATAAATCAAAATGACATGGGTTTTCTCCATTAATCTGCAAAAAAAGCATAGGAGTAGATGGGCAAAGGGAGATTTCTTAAATGGTTGGCAAGAAGTACATTCTGGGTCACAAAAACTTCATCTTGCTTTCTATGGAGCCAGCAATAAAACTTCCTTAACCAAGGAAATTAAGACCTTGTACAAAATAGTTTACTGGCTATATCACAGAAGGTTATTAAACCTTGCAAAGCACTTATACTTCTGTAATGAGAAGTCCTATAGAAATATCAGGTATTAATAAGATTTTTTTTTTAACTTAAATATTCATCGTTTTAATCCTAAATGAACTATGTTTTCTTTTTAGGCTGGCTTTTCTCAGGGACACTTTATTCATAACAGTACTTTGTTTACTGTGGATATCCCCGGAATACTTTCATTAAGGAATGACACAGAACTGGACAGGGAGACTACATCTGGATTCACTTTACAAGTAAATTTGGAGACAGACTCTGCAGCTTTGGCTCGTTTCTACTTCATTCCCTCGAACCCTTTTTTGTATCTTCATCAGATGGTTAAGATGGCAATACAGTCAACTAAAATTCCATTTTTGTTTCTTACTTTGGCAGGTATGGGCAGTTGATGCTGAAACGAATGGGCTTAATTCAAGTGCCTTGTTCCACGTCACTGTTCTGGATGCCAACGATAATAACCCTGAGTTTCAGATGCAGCCATACAGTTTTGAGATTCTGGAAGCAGATTACGTGTTGGGTGCTCCTGCTAGAGTTGGACGTGTGACTGCTACTGATTTGGATGAGGGAGAGAATGCACGAATTACTTACTACTTATCAGCTGAGGACGGGGATAATCCATATAGCGTCCAACAGGTAAGGGTTTGGATTTGCCAAAAACAATATTTAGATACTGCTTTTCATGAAGTTACTTGACATAGTAAGATACATCAGGTAAAAAGAGTAGGTGGTAACCATTCTAGTACACATGAAATCAAAACCAGCACGTGCTCTGTAGTTTGCAAATATATGTCAATGTCTGAAAACGAAGATATACTGGTCAGACATTGCTTGAAATCTGAACTATATTTGTCCAAAGGAAAACAGAGGATTTCGATGCCTCATCTCTTTTGAGAACTCAGTGTACAAGAGTTATCAAAATGATCTGTGTGTGAACTGTATTACCTTCTCTAGGATGGAACCATTTTGGTTAATGGCCACGTAGACCGAGAAACTAAAGAGAAGTATGAGCTGCTGTTGGTGGCATCTGATAATGGAGTACCTCAAAGGCAGGTAATAGAGAGGAACACATGATTCTTTATTTGCAACTTCCTTTTATTCATAAATTTAAGTGTCTGTGCATTTTCTGAATCATGGTTTTCTCCTGTCACACGCCAGAATTTCACATATGTCAGCATTCAAGTATTAGATGTGAATGATAACCCTCCTCAGTTTACGAAAGCACAATACTCGGCCAGTGTACGTGTAGCAACAGCAAAAGAAGGAGTATCTGTACTATCCGTGTCTGCTACTGACCTCGACGTTGGGAACAATTCTGTTATTTCGTACAGGTAAATTTCTGTGAGATTAATAGGTATCTTTTGTTAAAGAAACAGAAGGGTATTTTTATTTCTCACAAAGTATTTTTATTGGTCATAAGAAGGTAAGACCTGTTTGTACATATTTTACAAGTGCTATAATCAGTAATGATTTTTAGACTTAGGAAAAAGGACAGTCATTACTCTGTGTTTTAGAGCTTATAAAATCACAATTACACCATAAGAAAGAGAATGCAATCAAATGATAAACTTAGCAACAAGAACCGAAAGCCAAGATTTGTTTGAATTTCTGAAATTTTGGCTAAGATGTTGGAGTTTCTGAGTAGGAAGTAAATGAATCTCCAAGAATGACTGTCTCTTCACACATGTCTGTTTGTTGGGAGGAGGAGATCAAGAAAGACTAACTTTCCTAATCCACTATGCATAAAAAATTTAATCGAGAAAGATTTTTGGATGAGCCCTATGTCACGGAAAATACCAGGGTACCTTGACATGAAAAGTAGAGATTGAGAAGGACAGATGAATGAGCCAGTAAACTGTGGGTGTTTAAAACTAGTGTCTGGAAAGAGAATATTTTTCACTATGAGATGGCATTCTACCTTAAACACATGGCTTTTTCTTGTGAGCAATCCAGTTATCTGTGAGAGGTTGCAGAACACTAGGAATTAGCAAGCCTGCAGTCTTCAGACAAGTGTCACGTGGATTTCTTATATTGCTGAATATGCAGCTGAGTGTGCAGTATCTGCCTTCTATTCGTGGGGAGATCAAAGGCTTGGGATATAATGGGAGCTGAAAGCATGAATGCTGTCTTTTTTCATACGTGAAGACATACTTGGAAATAAAAAGGCCGATATATATTTAGGCTAATGACACAGCAATTAAACCCTGTTGCTTAGCCATTCTTTATAAACAGGCAAATACTGTCTGTTGAGTGCTTGTTACAGAAGTAACACTAAGTAGATGGTACTTCCAGTGTCATTAATATCAATGTGACACTGATTTCTCTTTAATACAGCCTCATGAACCATTCTGATGATTTCCGTATAAATAACCGCACTGGTGAAATCACCCTCAGCAGTAACTTGGACCATATCACAGCTGACACAGTTGTTACACTGATAGTTATTGCTGCTGATCATGGAGTTCCTCAGCTTACATCAAATGGTAAATGATGTCTTTTCACCTTTCCCCCCACACACACACATAAATGTAACCTCTGCAAACACTGAAATTTGAAATTAATCCCATTGCTGTCAAGTCAAAATGAATTAGGGCTAGAATCCATGTTACATTTCAGGAATGATGAATATTTGCTTTTCACCCTTTGATTTCCTCCTAGTGATCATATTAACAGAAAGCTTGGTTTAATAATTCTGGTTAGAAATACAATTTTGTAGTTCTTGCAGTGGTGCTTATGGTACAAAACCCAGGACTTCATAGTAGCAGCCACTCTAAAAAGATGTATTAAAATAATATTGATAAAGTGTGTTTCTCTTTCATTTTTCCTTTATTTTCTTAGAATTAGAAACATTTAAACAAACTAGAAACTGGCAAATAATCCTGAAACAAGTTTCTGCTCTTTCAAAAAATATTCAGTCGCATGGTATTTTCAGTCACTTTTTCATGTATTTTTAGGGGTTAGCTTTGATTTATCATGAACAGGAGAAACAACTGATTTTCTTAAAATAGGATGAGGGGCCACGAGAGAATTCGCATCTATATGGTTTTATGTATATCCCTTCTCTTTTGTTACAAAGCAATTTAGCGTAAGATTTTTAAGGAGTGGAAACCATCTGCATATCCCATTAACTTCAAATTGGTATTCCTTGCTCTCCTATCATATTGAAGCCACACTGCTGTGATCAGTGAGGTGGGGTTATTCTGGAACATTAGTTAGGTATGAAAGGCATCGTGTTTTATGTGTTGCATATTAATCTTTATTATTGTTAATTTTTTTTTTCCTTCTCATTCTTCTCTTTCCTACATGCCGGTTTCTGTCATTTTCTATTAGTTCCTCAAAAATTTAGGGAAATAGAGCACACATCATGATTATTTTAGCAGCAACTTCACTATTTTAATTTGTTTTCTCTCATTAGTCTCTGTTACTCTCTACTTGCTGGTAAACGACACTAGCTTCGGGCTGACTTTCGACAGCTCCAGCTATGAGTTCAGCATTCAGGAAGATGAACCAGCTGGGACTGCTGTTGGCTCTGTGAAGGCTCTGACTGGAAACATAGCCGTACAAGTAGCGTACTCGCTGAAATCTCACAGGGACAAGTTCTCTGTCAGTGACCGAGGAGACATTGTGGCTCTTGACATGCTAGATCGAGAAGAAGAAAACCTATACAGCATCATTGTAGAAGCTGTTGATTCTGAGGTGCCACCCAATACAGCTGTTACTTTGGTACAGTATACTGCGTTTTAAAATATTTTTTAAAAAGGAATATAGAATATTTTAAAAATATATTAAGAAATCAAGCAATATCCAGGTAAGTGTCATCTGTTGTGCAAGCATGAGAATTTTGAGAGCCTTCTATTTAATTTCCCTTTTTTTCCGAGGAGATATTACTGTCTTGAAATATTGTCAACTTCACAAGTTGCATCACTTCCTGAGAGTTCCTCTGTGAACAGCCCATAACCAGAGAAACTGATTAACACTGAAACCGATTCTGTGCATAGTTCTGTCAAATGCATGAAGTAGATGAGCCCAAAAGCCCCAGATCATTAATCCTGCTCATCTCTTCCAGTTAGAGTATGCGTTATATCACTTGTAACAGTTGAGAATAAAAAAAAAATCCTGAGATGCTGAAGTTGTGAAAAGGCTCAAATGCTGAAAAATGCTGAAGTTGTTATGTATCCCTTTGGTTTTTGTGTTGGTTCTTTTGGTTTTTTCCCCCCCATAGGCTTCCATACGTTAAGATGAATCAAAAATCTCCTTTGGATACTGTTTCTACAACTCAAATATGTCTCTCTTTTTTTTTTTTCCCCCTCAAAATACAGGTAACTGTGAGAGTAAATGACATCAATGACAATCCTCCAGTTTTCTCAACATCGATTCAAACTGAACTATCAGCTCCTGAGAATGCAGCTAGTCTAGACTTGGGCGTATTTTCTGCTACTGATCTGGATATAGGAGTTAATGCACTTCTAAGCTACTCTCTGCAAGACGATTTTGCTGGAATGTTCCATATTAACAGTTCTACTGGCAAGCTGATGACAAAAAAATCCTTAGACAGAGAGATGATGGACAGTTATGAATTGAAAATAATAGTAAGTTGACAAACTTGATGCAAGTTCGCAAAATTCTCAACATAAAAAAGAGAAAATACCAAATCATCATAAGAAAAACACTTAATCTTAGTGAACTCCATTAGAATTCATTAATGAATTTCGACTGTTTATTATGTTTTGCACCCAGAGCTTTGTTTTCTGCTGTGTAAATTGGTGTTAGTGAATAAATGACCCATGCACGTCAGATCTTAAAGGTCATAGTCACATGATAGCTTACTGTGAAATCTGCAAAGCATTCCTGAGTCCATTTTAGACCATGCAGCTGCCATACTGCAGTATTGCTTGTACTGCTTTGCCAATCCATATTGTTTGTCCCTTTCCCTTATTTTTTTCACTTTTCAAAATATATGTACTTAGAGCTATTTCAAATAGCTGAAATATACATTTCCAAGTTCAAAAAAAAAAAAAAGTGAAAGCATAAAGTTTCATCCAACATTCATGTGGATATCTATTTATTCTAGCTGATTTCATTGATTTTCACTGCTATTAATCAGATTATTGTGCATACAAAGAAGCGTTCCAGCACTGGCCATCATGTACAAATATATTTTAAGGTGATCTTTACTGCTAACAAATAATTTAACAGGTCAAGGAACTTGTGGAACATATTCAGGACGGCAAGGAAACATAGTAAAAATCAAACAATGTCTTCTGAAAATTTTAAAATTAATAAAAGTGGACACTTTCTAAGACTAATTGAAAATTGTGTCTATGTACCTATAGATTAGAATTTTTCTATGGCGGATGTTTGTGCAACATAAAACTGACTGTGAATTTGCTACGTACTAGCTACTCTTCATAGCTTGTTTTGTAGACGCTTCAAACCCTCAAAATGCAAGGGATTTCTTTATTCTTTTAAATGCCCCATCACAGATATGTATCTGTATACCATGGGTTTATGTTGATTAGTGCCACATCTGATCACATGATACATTTGACCTGGATCCAGGCTTGAGCTTTTGGTTAATTGTTCATGAAATGAGGCAGAGCATGTGATGTGGTGAGGATACCAGCTGCAGGAAGACATGCAACACCTAATCAAGTACAGGGCTAGAGCAATGTCATTGGGTGATAACTGGTCCAGCGGAAAGTCTTTTGAGACAAGTTTCACAATTTTTGGAACAAAACTGAACTGGTAAAATAAGTTTATACTGCTGTATCAAATGACGAGTTGTTTCTTCACAGGCCACTGATTCTGGCAAACCATCGCAATCTGCAAGCTTAGTTCTAAGCATCACTGTAGAAGATGTGAATGACAACCCACCAGTGTTCCCCCAGAAATTGTACTCCGTGACTGTAAAAGAGAATGAGCCTCCACATGTGGTATGCGGCATTAAGAATAAATAGGCTGTTCTGTAGTTGTTTTCTTTATGTAAACTTGGAAGTGGTAGTAATCTATGATGACTGTGCACTGGTGAACTTATTTTTTTACCTTGTGGAGTCTGTAAAATCACACAGCATGTGCGTTTTATATGACAGCAGCGTGCTTATTCCACTGACTCTTCCTAAAGCTCTCTTTGTGCCGCTCCCCCTTTCCCTCCTGTCCCCAGCAGTGATGCCACACTGCATGGATCTAGTTTTCAGAGGACCTACAGGCAACATGTTTTAAAGATGCTGTTGGTGTTGTGCATATATCCAGCATCCCACTGTTCTTAAGGTTTCCTGTCTTCTCCCAGTCTATAATTTCTGGCTCCATATCTGCCTTGCAGATGCGAACTAATGGTTTACAGGAATCAAGGGAAGAGGGACCACCTAAGAATCTGTAACATCTGTTACCAGCCCCGCTATATGCTGTGTCAGTATTCTAGCAATGCAATTAACGGCCATATGAGTAATTCAGTCAGTAAACACTATATAGTTAAATACCAGTCTTGTGTGTATGTTTTGCCGCTCTCTTCGTTCTGCTCTAAACCTGGTGGTTTGGGGTTTTTTTGTTTGTTTGTGGTTTTTTTCTCATTTAGATTTTGAGTGCAGCAGCCACAGATGAAGATATAGGGTACAATGCCATTATTCATTACACCATAATTGGAGAGACTGCTTCATTTCGTGTTGGAGAACTTTCTGGAAATATTACAACTCTTCAACCTCTGGACTATGAAAGTCGTTCCCAGTATACGTTTATTCTGAAAGCTTTCAATCCTGGAGAGCCATATCTCCAGGACACAGCAAACATTACAGGTAGCTCTAGTTTACCACAGAAAATTTACCTTCATTTCCCTTAGGGAATATTTCAGCATATAATTATGAGGCATAACGATAGCCTTCAGTAGTAATACAATCTGCTACAGTAAATTATCAGAAACGATGATGTGACCTTTTAACTATAGCCAGATGAAATTTTTCTCAAAAAATGTTTGGCTTGTCAAAAACAAAGATTTTTCACACAAACTGACGTTACTTACTTCAATGTGTTCATAAATTTTTCTATGGCATTTTTTGAGTACCTATTGACATTTTGATTGAAAAGGTTTCCGAAAACATAATTCAGTTCTTTTTCTGCTTGTTTACAGAAAGCCTGCTTCTAGGGTGGTAAAAAAACCGTTGCCAATGATTTTTAGTGTTGTTCAAATAACAGTATTTCATTGCTGTTGTTTTTCTCCTTAAAAGAAAAAAAAAAAAATCTTTTTTTCCCAACACAACACAAAAGATTTCTGTGAAGTTGGGATCCTGGTTTTTGGCTAGCCCTGCTTTTGATCAGTATGACTGGAAGTATTGGCTTATTTATTACTTCTTGTTCTGTGTTACTTATGTTACTGTACGGCCAGCTTCACTAGTTGTGGACCATGACCCTATTGTGCCAGGTCATGTACAAATATAAAACTAAGCACTCCTGTCTCACGACGCTTGCAATCTAAGCCAAGGACTAGAGATACCAGATGAATATGGACACAGAAGGGAGCCCAACGAAACAATAAGATGATATTATTCATGACAGATAGTAGTGACAGCATGCTAGCCAGAAGTGCAGTCATTGTGGGAAACAATAGCTTGAGCAGTAAATAATTTAATCCTCAAAGGCAAGCATTTTGAAGTACAGAAAACAAGGTTGCCATCTGGTTTAAATTGAAGGAGCTCCAACTCAATTCAGAGAGGCTGTGCTGGTTTATATTAGCTGAAGAAATAGCTTGTAACCATTTAGGTGAAACTCATGTTTACATTCAGACATGGACCTTCTTTTCTTAGTTACCGTGGAAGATGCTAATGAAGAAGGACCCGTATTTGACAAGCCCTCATATTTCCAGATCCTTCTAGACAATTCTACAGCTGGCACGCTGGTAGTAGATATCAATGCAAGAGATGAAAGCAAGGGTTATGATGAAGGCATTTTCTACAATATTTCAGGTATGTTAGAAAAAAAATCTTACGGGTGTTTATTACTGGGGTACTTGCATACTGCTAAACTAAGCTGCGTGACACGAGAATGAGAGATGGTCATAAACTGAAATGGCAGGTTCTGACTACATATAAGGAGAAAAAAAAGTCCTCTGGGAGGATAACTAAGTACTGGAACAGGTTGCCCAGAGAGGCTGTCCTTGGAGGTTTTCAGCACCTGATGGATCAAAGCCTTGAGCAACATGCTCCGAATTCATTCATGACCCTGCTTTGAGCCAAGAGGTTGGACTAGAGGCCTCACAAGGGCCCTTCCAGCCCAAACGATTCTGTGACGCAGAATCAAGAGAGGCCAGGTGTCTTGCTCCAAATCACATATACAGACTAGGATTTCAACCCGTGCCTCTTAAATCCTGGGCACATAATTCAGTCGCTCCTCTCCGCTGTCTCCGTCGAAATTCTCTAACACTTGTTTTTCTGTCTTCAGGTGGAAACTCAGAAGGCCTCTTTAGTCTTTCCAGTACCACAGGAGTACTCACGTTAACAAAAGACTTATCCAAACAGACTGTTCCCCTGTATTACTCCTTGACGGTCACCGCTACGGATTTGGGTCTGCCACCTCTTACAACTTCTGTAAAGGTACAAAAATTTTTACCTTAGTGTCTACTTGTGCAGTTTATTTCCCGGATTGTTTTATTCTAAACTGAGTGTAACTACACCAGGAAATGGGTATTAGTGAGGCAAAACTATGCAAAATGGGAATCAGAATGTCAGAGTCCCGCTTCTGTTTCAGGAACAGGATACAAAATGATAACAGTTACAAAGTTATGCTGCTATAGCAATTGCTGGCACACCACCCGTCATTGTCTTGATCATTCCATTTCAGAAAAGAAAGACAGAAGCTCTAGACTGTGAGGGAGGAAGATTAGAGGAGTGGAGACTTCTGTGCAAGGTCAAAAAGTGGGACAGTCAGAAGGGATGGAATGGAAGTATAAATAGACGGATAGAATAAACAGGAGACAGAAAATAAGGTGTTCCTGTTTATTTTCCTATAATACAAGAAAAAATACATTCTAAATTGAAGTCTGAGTGTCCTGGTTTCGGCTGAGATAGAGTTAATTTTCTTTCTAGTAGCTGGTATCGTGCTGTGTTTTGGATTTAGCATGAGAATAACGTTGATAACACGCTGATGTTTTAGTTACTGCTGAGCAGTGCTTAGGCTAGTCAAGGCCTTTCCTGCTTCTCACCCCACCCCACCAGCGAGGAGGCTGGGGGTGCACAAGAAGTCGGGAGGGGACACAGCCGGGACAGCTGACCCCAACTGACCAAAGGGATATTCCGCACCTTTTTATGCGGAAACTAGGGGCTGGCTGGGGGTCCGCTGCTCGGGAACTGGCTGGGCATTGGTCAGTGGGTGGTGAGCGACTGCATTGTGCATCACTTGTTCTGTATATTCTCTTATCATTATTATTATTTTCCCTTTCTTTTCCGTCCTATTAAATTGACTTTATCTCAACCCACGAGTTTTACCTTTTTTTTCTTTCGGTTCTCTCCCCCATCCCACTGAGGGGGGAGTGAGCGAACGGCTGTGTGGTGTTTAGCTGTCTGCCGGGTTAAAGCACAACACTGAGAAATGTAAATATGATAAAAGAAATTTTTTTTTACACAGTGCTTATAACTGGCTGGTGATCTTTTGCCACTAAATATCACAGCTTAGCAGAATTTAAAAAAAAAAAAAGGACTAGAAATGTATATGGGTAAAGACGTAGAAAATTATATTCAACAGAACCTTAAAATGTAGCCTTATGAGCCATCACTCTTCAGAGCATTGGACAGCAGCTGTCTGGTGTCATTTAGAAATAAATTATCTTTATTTTTGTGAAGCAGTAGGCATTATTTATTTACTGCCTGTCACCATTTTTCATATATAAAGTCAGTTATAGTAATTTTAAAATACTGTACTTACAAGCTCCTGCTCCGGTCATACATTCTCCATTGGAAGAATCTGTTGCAAATACAGATCAGTACCTCTCTCCGAGAGCTGCTTAACTAGACAAGTCATTTGAAATGTGCTGTATGCGATGAACTGGAATCTCTCTATATATTTGGGAAAGCATACAGGTGAACCTAAATTGATGATGTTGCTGGCATTTTTCACTAACCTTCGCTGCCTTCAAGGCACTAGCGTGTCAAACTCAGCACGCAGCAATCATAGGCTTTTTCTTACTGCCAAAGTTCTGGACTTCTGCTGCTACATACCTGAATAGAAAAGTCTGCTAAACCTGAAGACATAACCCCTGTAGTCACCTCCTTTTCTCTGCAGGTGTCAATAACGATAGCTCCCATCACCATTTCGTTCCCGGTGTTCTCTGAAGCAGCCTATCAGCCTGCCCCTCTGAGTGAGAAGACGCCGCCTGATACATTTGTTGTACAGATCAGCGTGTTGTATAAGGTCCCTGTGATATACAGTATTGTATCTGGAGATGGAAAGGGTAAGCTCTTTCTGTGAAATAACAAGGAAGAGGGTGTGTTAAACAACTAGTGCTGCAGAGCACTCAGCTTTTGGATTGTTTCTTCTCTCTCTCCTTTTGCTTTTATCTGAATTCTACAGCCACTGATACTGGATGTGTATCAACCAGCTGTGCAAATTTGATATGGATCAGGTGTGGGCACATGACTGAATTTCTGTCAGATTAGCGAGAGCCACATGATACAGAGCTGACTGCACCAGCTGTATGCTCTCTTATGTCTGCTACGGGAAGATCAGGTGGTACCTGATCAGGCATGAAGTTACAGTGACTGGGGAAAGAATACCTCATTCAGCATAAAGACTGCTGGTAGAAAAACTAACTCAGCAACATTTTCTTAACGAATGTGAATGCGTAGAGTAAGTTTACGTGGGATCAGCTGGATCACGTGTCTTTTTTTACTAAACATAGAGCTGATTTTATTGTATCATTGAACATAGCCACTTTATATTTCTTCTTTGTAAAATGTTTTGTATGAAGTTGTGGTCTCCTTGAAGTTATTTGCAGAATTCCTCATCTTCAGTAAGAACAGGACTTCACAGGAAATAAAGGAAACAGGGACAAATAATCTCTGACTGTTTCAGAGGAAGGTGAAGATCTTCTGACTGGAGAGTGGGGGAGTGAACTTCTCCCCTTTTGGTTCCCATCTGACCTTCTGAATTACTTGTTTTTGTTAATTACAGCCCTGGATACTTCTGACATTCTCATAAACCCGTGTTGAATTTTATTTTGTTCTTTGAAGAATACCGTAACATACGATATTCATATACATAATGTATAGTTTGCATTGAAGGGTTCATATCTTCAGTTTTAATTAATAACATCATAAACAGAATAATTTATGCTTTTTTTTAAACAGGGTATTTCATTATCGATCCATCCACTGGTATTGTAAGAACAAGGAAGAATTTGAAACTGGAAGACTTTCCAGTTACTTTCAACGTGAGAGCAACAGATTCGTCTAATCCTAGCATATTTAATGATGTTTCTGTGAATGTGGAAGTTATTGATGAAAATGATTTCCCTCCGGTTTTCCCATCTTCTCTACTAGAAAAAAGATTGGAAGAGGTAAGAAAATGTCATCCAAACTGAATCACAAAAATAAACCCTCAATAATAATAATAATAATAATAATCTTTTGGTGAGTATACAAGTAAACATCCTGGAACTGGATAGGCTTACCATTCTGTTCTGCCATATGATGTTTTAAGGTTTATTTCAAGCTGAAAATCCCAATACCTATCGAGAATGGTCTACAAGTGTGGACATATTGAAGGAAAAGTGAATCTTTTACTAATAAGGGGCTCCACAAAGGAAAAACAGCCGCTCCATCTTGCGTATTTGTACACAGAGAATATCCATGTGCATTCACAATGTAGTGGGTGTGCTGGGCACCTTATAGACTCTCTCAGCCTTTTGTAATGGAACTTCATACAGGGAAGCAGCAGGCAAAAGTCTCTAATTTAGCAACGCTTCTCCTCTTGTACGTGTACGATCTGTTGTGATTCTTCCTGACACTAAGTAATTGGTGGCAGAATCAAGCCAGATTTCAGTCTGTGGCTGTTATGTTATGATAACCTGCAAAGGAAGCCACAGCATTTAATTATGCAAAAGCACTTAGCTCAACATTTCACTCTTCAATTTTCAAACAACACTTTTCACACTTTAATCTGCTAGCTACATTTTTAAAAAGAAGCACATTGATCATGTTTATATTTTATATAGCATGTACCTTGCCTTTGAGATTACCAGCTGATTCATACACATTCTCTTTAACAGCCACAACTGATTTCAAATCTAGTCCATTTCTAACATTGAGCTAAATGTGGGTTTAATTATCATACCTATTTTTAATGTTCCCAGTTAGTTTAATGGAGAAGAGTTAGAATCACATTTCCCAAACTTAAAAATTGATTTCCTTCTGAAATATTTAAACAGTAGGAATTGCTGGATGCCCTGTTGGATCAAATAACTTTAGATCAGGTCTCAAATGGCCCTACGAGTGAAACACTGATATTTACTGTCAATCTTAATGCAAATAACATTTTTTAAAAGGAAGAAATAGATTGTTTATTTTGAAAAGAGTAATTATTAGCCAAATAGTGTTCAGAAAGAAACATGATTTTGAAGTTGAGAACGTCCCTTGAGTTTCATAGGAGTAGAGGCTATTAAACATGAATAATTCCTCAACAGCAAGTCAGGTGCTTGAGGTTAACATTTGGCCTGTTTGAAATCATGGTGATTTTTCTTCCTGAAGATTGCTGCTGTAGGTAGAGGTGGGGGGGGGAAATAGTTCTTTGCTGTAAATTAGAGAAAACAAGACATTCTCTTACTGTGCTGAACGAGTTGTATAATTTTGATTTTAAAATGTCTATACTATTGTAAATGTATGCGGGATCTGTTACTTTCCCCCATTCACGTAATTCAAGAAATTGCAGCTAACCAAAGCCTCTGACAGCCTCAATCTGTTCTTCGTCCACAGAATTCACCCGCTACTCAGATCATCCAGCTGAAAGCTCAGGATAGCGATACAGGAAGAAATGGTTTCCTAACATATGGCATTCTCAGTGGAGACGGACTAAAATTCAGGATAGATGAAGCAACTGGAATTCTTTATTCCACTGCCTCCTTTGATTATGAAGAGGAACGTACAGAGTATCAGGTTTGCTTTAGATTTCTTGAGTCTTTTCATTATTCAGAACTCTTTATCTTTCCCTTGGATAACAGGTGACACTTTTGTTTTTGTTTAGCTTGCTATTGCTTGAATATTTTATGTATTGTTTTAGAATATGAGCATCTCAAGATGTGATGCATTATTAAACCAAGACACTGCCTTTAGACTATAATGAAATTCAAACAAGGCTCATTGTTCACCTGTCCTACAAACTCTCAAACACATCAGCACATGAATAACTAACTTCAAAATGACAGCTCATGTATTCAGTGTTGCCTGTTTGCTTGAATCTGTGCTGGACTGAGATCTTGCAGATACGATTCTCGGTTAATCTTCTTTATTGTTGCTGCCACTGCTGGATATTTGTTATGATTTTATTTTGCTTCAAGCAAAAACATTGGTGAATTTGTTGGTTCTATATGGAAAGACTTTTTAATTGACCAAATACTCCCTAAGTTTCAATAATCATTTTGAGGTGAACTCAGAATTTGAGTTTACATTTCTAAGAATACTCCAAAGTTTAAAATTCACCCAGATTTTTTAAACCTTATGCAAGTACCTACTTGTGTGATTTCTCATTACCGATAATTGTGCAACTTACAGGTTGTGGTATATGCTGAGGATGATGGAATCCCGGAGAAGAAAAGAGGTTACTGCACAGTTGTCATAAAGATCACTGATGTTAATGACTGGCCGCCTGTCTTTGATCCAGTGGCTGAATTCAGTGTAAATGAAAACGCGCCTGTGGGATTCATAGTTGGAAAACTCACAGCAACGGACAGAGACACAGGAGACAATGCCTTTGTTCTGTATAGCCTTACAGGTAACAAGGAATTCTCTCGCTGCACTGGAACAATTGTCACTTTGTTGTCTATGCTGTTACGAGCATAAATAGCATTATGTGTGTTCTCTCCTAACCCCTTTCCACATAAGCCAAGAAAGGTTCACTTTCACCTGGTTTGGTATTTTACTAATTTATGCTCATACAGCTTTCAAACTGATCGAGTAGGAACTTCTTTTGCAGACACTACAAATTGTTGTGTTTTTAATCATACTCTTAATTCTGTTAAAAATCAGCTTTTTAAAATATCTTTAGCTACTTGACTGCTGTAGCTGCAATCAGCAGGAGTAATTTTGATGAAAAAAATGCCCATAGCTTTCTTGAATGAGGAATAAGGGTCTAGGGCCTAATTCATCCCCGCCTTGTCAAACCCATTCTGCCTGCGCCAGGTATTAAATGCTGCTAAATTAAGCCTCTCTTCAGCCTGTGGACTGTGAGCGTTTCACAGCTACTAGGATGTAATGGTATCACAAGTGTGCCAGGGACCTGATTCACTATGGAGGGCTGCTGGAGAGCTGTCTTCTTCACCCTCGTGCTGGACACCTTTACCTCTGCAGCAGAAGCGCCACAACAGACAGCAGGTCACCCACACTGCTACCTCAGATTTCTGCCCAGGCTATTAATATAAAGTGTCTTCAATTTCATTTTACATTGATGTGCCAGCTTGTGAACTGCAGCGACTGAGAGCTCTGATTCGTGCTTCCTGTCACGTTTAACTGTGGTAGCTGATGGCATTACAGTTGGGAAGAGCGCCCCTTTTGCCACTGCCCCTAAATCTGACAGAGATGGAGATTTAGACCCCTCTGGACCAAAGCCTGCAGGAGTTGCAATAGTTGTTTTTGTTGTATGGACCATCAAGAGCGATGTGTATACAGTTTATATGTTTTTAGAGCCTTTTATTTCCAATATGCATACAGACTTTGAGGTGCCTTTGGACAAGGGTGGCCAAAACCAGTAAAAGTCACTGCCAGGTCTTTTGGCAGTCAAACTGATTTCTGTTTAGATTTGCGTGCCACTCAGTCCACCTTCATTAGAGACAGAATAAATTCAGTGACGTCTCCTCTTAGAGATCTTGGCAGGGGCACTGTCTTGTTACAGTGCTTCATGACTGTTGCAACCAGCAAACATGAGACTGAATATACAGAAGGCCAGAGGACTGTAAAAGTGCCTGGGAACGCCTCTGATCTCCTCTAAGAGTTGCACAGGCTCAGAGGAACTTGCTTCCGGAGATTCACCCCCAAACTCCAACGTGCTGTCCGTCATCATTTGTGTGCCTCAAGCACTATTACTTTTTGAGTGTGACAGATGTATCTGCAAAACTTGTTAACCCATTCTGTTGGCTCACATCTCAAACGCTCATCCACTCAAAATATTTTCTGCTTTTCTTCTGCATTATCTATACGATATTTAAAAAATAGCTTTAATGAGCTCAAGACACATGTACACATACAATTTAAGAGTGTAGTTAATTATGTGCTTCTAAGATGTATTCATTGATAATGCTTCTTTAAATGTATCTCAGGTGGTGGAGGAAATATATTTGAAATAGATGAAATACATGGCAACATCAAGATAAAGAACTCTCCAGACTATGAAACCATGAATAAATACAGCCTTACCGTGAATGCGGTCAACAATAAATCTGCCCCTTTCCATCAGGTAAGAGACCATTATTGTAATGAACAGTGACTCTTCTATTCAGAGTGGATTTTGAACTAGTGGGAGGGAGATCTATCAAAGACATTTATTGTGCGGAATAAATTAGTCACCTAATCGTGTTTAGGGTCAGACTTTTGCGACCTTTGTCCATGCTGAGTAGTAGTATACTCCATAATTAGTTGAAATACTTCATAATCATGCACGGTAGAATTTGACCCTGAATTGTTTGCAGACTAACCTGTGCTGGGGAACCAGAATTCTTGCCTGCTGCTGTTAGTACTGTGAGTGCCGTGATAATTTTTCATGGGAGAAAAAAGTAATTTTCAACAAATTGTTCTAGTTCTGCTGTATTTCTTTTATTTGAAAAGATATTACACACTTATTTAACTGAACTAGAACATGTGTGGTTCCCTTAACTGCATCTAGCAGCAGCAGTAGGACACGTTGGCCTCCTAAACACATCCTGTTCTTACTCGTTCAGACACCTTTCAAGAAGTGGAATCCTACTGCAACATTGAATTCCTGCCCCTCTTATATTAAAATCCTGTAGTGATCTCTGATGTTGAGTTCACAAAATTAAACCTAACACAGTGTTTTACTACAGCATTTTCAAAGTCTAATTTATACTTTTTGTTGCATATGCAAATAACAAAAAAATATCGCTAAATAAGACATTCTAAATATTCTAAAATGCATGAAACCATTTTGTTTTCTAGGCAACTACTCATGTCACTGTTCTAGTGACTGACGTGAATGATAATGCTCCAGTATTCGCTCAGAATTCCTATTCCGCTTCTATAAACATGATTAATCCTGTAGGTTCTCATGTCATAACTGTGAGCGCTACCGACAAAGATCAGGTAACTACTCCTGTTTGATTTTGACACTGCTTTAAGCTGCAGCCCAAATATATTTTCCTCCATTCTGAAGGCATGAAATACCAAATGTAGCAGAAAGTGCATTCTGATTGACTAACAGCACTGGGAATTGGAAATTAGGACTTTTGATGTTTCTGCCTTGACACTGAGGTACCCCCTGTCTTTGGGCATGTTTCTTCAGCTATATTTGCCTTAATTTCTCCCCTTATTATACTGAGTTGTACCGGTCTTTCAGAAGGATACAAGGACTGAAGCAATTTAGCGTCTGGACTTCTGAAGTGGAACAATCTGTAAAAGCTAAACATCATATAGCTGGCTTGAACATGGAAATGTCTGCTTACCAAACGCCTCTGAAGTGTGGTACCCCAGCTAATTCTCTCTGTCCCCATTTTTTAAAGTAATTTTGTTTGACATATCTGTACTGCACCCATCAAGGTAGTATCCAGGCACTGGCAGAGGTATCCGGTAGTCAACCAGATCACCGTGACAACATCAGTACTAATCGTATCATTTAAAAGATGAAACATCTAGAAGTGACAACAAAATAGGTGTAGCAGGTGCCTTCCTATTTCTTCATGTGTAATTTTGGTTAAAATAGCTGCAGCTGTGGTATATTGCTGCAAATAACTTAACGGGCCCCTTTTTTTTTTTTTCATCCTTCTCAATGATTTTATATAAAAAGTGAAATTGCTTATGAAAGTTGCTGGACTCTGTGAGATCTGCATTGAGACGCTAACGAAACTCATTCCTCAGATAGTATGCCTGGTCCTCTGCCATGCAGAGCAGCACTCATCCTCCCTGTGCCACCCTTTCAGGATTCTGGGGCAGAGTCCAGCTCTGAAATTATTAGACTTTGTCTCTATTCCTCCCTGTTCCTGAAATAATTATAAATCCACAGATTACTTAGTGACGACAGATGTTCATGGTAGGGTTTGATCCTGCTGCTGCAGAGCCGTGGAAGAACAGAATGCAATGCTTTTCAGAAATACAGAGCAAAATGCAATAGAGCAAACCCTAAGGGTTTTTCAGAATGGCTTGTCTCAGGAAAGTGAAGCGATGCGCGGAGAGTAAAATGTGTCTGACTCTCCTGTGGCAGGCAGGAATAGGGCTTACCCTCATAGCAGCGGGGAGGCTGTGCTTCTCCTCAGGGTGTGAAAAGGATCCAAGGGACTTTGGCTTATTCTGGTTGACATCATACCTTTAGATGACTCTTTCGCTACTCTGACTGTCTCCCTCTACGCGTGTCCTTAACTTATTTTCTTTAGAGACCCTTTTTCACAGTTTTGCTGTGTAACTGGCCAACTGCTTGTGAATTTTCTTCTGCTTTGTGTTTTTATCGGCACCCATCCTACCATAGCTAACCCCAAGTTTTCATTCTCTAAATAAATTCACCAGAGACATTTAGACATTGTCAAATCTCGTTTCAGTGTTTATCCTACCCTTCAAAAGGTACTCCCAGTGCATGTAGTTTTCTTTAGTATTGCTATGGGATTTTTTTTTGGATCCTGGAACATCGAAATTAATTTGGGGGGGTGGGAGGCTCTGCTCATCGGCCCTTTCCTCTGCTGCTGCTCTTGTGTTACAGCTTAAGCACAAAGTAGCTCTAAGCCCGGTTCTCTCTAGTTATTAAAAAGGCCTCTGGCGTTCTGTCCATTTAAGCACGGAAATACTGAGATTCCAGTGAGTCTGCCCTAGGGGACTTGGGGCACTGAAATAATGTGGTCCTGCAAGCAATAGTTACATGAAGTTGTGTTCCTTTCATGGCAGGGGCAAAATGGCCTTATTGGGTACTACATCCTCCCTGATCAAAACTTCAGCCCATTCTTCCTGATAGAAGATACGAGTGAGGGGAAAATAATTACAACTGGAAACCTGTCTAGATCTGGAGAGATCCATTTAACAGTGATGGCTAAGGACAAAGGCTCTCCATCTTTAAATGACACTGCTGTGATTACTCTTAACGTGTTTGACAACCGTCCATTTGTTCCACGGTTTAACGAGAGCAAAATCAGGTGAGGCTTTCATATTAAGTTATATAACTGGTACATATTCTCCAGGTAGTGGAAAACATAGTAAAGTTGAAAGTTGAAGCTGATTTTAATTTTCTTCCGTGCAGAAGAAGGGACATCAGGTTTTTTTGAACAAAATGTCCAGGAAATTCTGCTATGCCGGTGGTTCTGTGAACGTGATGCGAGGCATCGCCTTTTATTTCTTTATCGTGCAGCTTGCATAAGCCAGACTCTGTCCCTTTCCTCTTGCACACTAATAAAGCATTCTTCCTTAGCCTTTACTCAAGGATAAACTAATGTCTGGCTAGAAAAGTAGGGCTTGCGCTGCACTCTGTCAGTGAGCTCTAGCGAACAACTAGAGGGGAGGGGGCAGGATTTTCCACAGAGAACTCGCTCTTGAAGAGTTAAATTTCAAAGCCTGCCAGTGCAACAGCTGCTGGGAAATCTAACATTATGATTTCTCGTTTATTTTCTATATTAGCATTTCCATTTTGGAAAACACAGGAGTGGATTATTTAATTTACGCTTTTACTGTGGTTGAAACTTTAGGAAAACCAATTGATTATGCAGTTGTATCTGGCAATGAAAAAGGTGAGTACTATTTCCCTTATGAGTTAAAATAGCTAAGATAATAGAATAACCTGTCTTTTGTGTGACAGATGTTGCCATATGTAAATGTGGAGATGGAGAGCAAGGATTAAAACTTTTGTCATTTTTTTAAAAAAAAAAGTACACAAAGAATTTCTTTCAGAGCTCTTCAGCATGGACTTCGTTAATCTTCTTTGGCTAAAGAGGTGGTGGTAACTTGCCAGAAAATGGGTTCCTGTAGTCTTAAATTAGGATAATTTGCAGGCCGAGGGAGCCAAAATAGAAGTTGTTAGCAAGCAGCTTCCTCCCTGCCAATCACTTTTAGTCTATCATTTCCTTGCACTTGCACCTATGTTAGGGCGTCTGGCCTCCTTCAGCTTTTGCAGCCGTGATGCGACTCCATTTGCGCACAAAAAAAAGGAAATAATTAGAAACTGATAGAAAACTTGGAAATCCATGTTGTGCGGTCAGGAGTTGTGCAACAAGAGGCTGCAATTCTGTTTTCCAAGTACGTTGCTCCTTTACATGTTTAAGGCCTGTTTGGTCTGGGCTAGGACCCCAGCTGTGATGCCTTTGCGGCTCAGCCAGTGGAAGGGCTGCGTTTCCCATTTTTAAGAGCAGAGGGCCCATGGAAACATCCTAAGAGCAACCACGACACAAGAGGTAGGAGGGATACAAGTGACGTGGTAGCTATAACGATCAAGGTGTGTGTTTTTCCTTTCAGGTCATTTTAGATTGGACCCGAAAAGTGGTCAGCTGAGAACAGCAATTAATTTGAACTATGAGGAAGTTTCTCAGTATGTGATTTTAATTGAAGCAAATGACAATCTCTCATCTGCCGCAGAAGCCCAGCATTCAGGTAACTTTTTGATTTGAAGGACATTCCAACTTAAATCGGGGGCAACGAACACGTCTTCTGTATTTGCAACCCAATATAGGAATCATGAGTCTCTTTAACTGAAAAGTCTGACGTGAAAGATGAAACGCTGAAGGTCAAGGTTGTGCAGAGAAAAGCAGCAGCCTTCCCCCAAGGGCGCGAGCCCTCACAGGGCCCTACCGCGGTCTCAGAAAAGAAGATAATAGCTGGGCATTGGACTGCTCAGCGGGAGCTGGCGGAACCTGCCTGTCCCTTGCCTGGTACGGCACAGCCAGCTGGAGAGGGCTGACAGAGGAGCAGTGCTGTCACCCTTTGCCTTGAACTGCCTGCTCTCACTGAAGCCCCAGCAGGAGTGCGCGGGATAGAGCTCCTCTGGACACAGCCCTGCTGCGTTCCCTTTCTTCCCCCTCTTCCTCACGTGCAGCAGAGATACTGCTGCAAAGCCACAGCCTGACCCGGCCTTTGAAAGTTGTGCTTGGCTGATGTTTGTTGTTGCAGTTAACTTGTGTTTGTTTAATAGGTCTGTTTGCTCAAAACGTGGTGATGCTGACAATCTCAGTGCAGGATATAAATGAAGAGCCAGCGTTTTCGAATAACGCCTACTCTGCTAGGATACCGAACTCCGTGCCATACAAGTACCCGGTTACTACGGTTCAGGTAGAGTATCTTTCTGTGCTCTTCGTGAGGACAGAAATCTCGTGAAAGATTTGGATTTCTTCCACAGTTGAACTGGGTTAAAGGAGCTGTTAAATCTGCTCTTGAAAGCTGGAGACAGATTCTGCCTATCATCCAGGTTTAACATAACGCTGGTGAAGGATGGGGTGTTTAGGGAACTGGTCCATGCCTGTCCTACCAGCGGGTCTGTCAGAAGAGCTATACAGTCTGTTCTGACTCATGCTGCTGTTATGGATTACATACTGCACAGACTGCCGTTCTCTCTTTGGCACCGTTAACCGCCTTGTTACATATCAGACCTAAATGGGAAATGATTTACAAAATGGAGCAGTTCTCATTTCTAAGTCTGGTGTTATCCCTCAGTCCCAGCCTGCTCCTTTTACGCTTGCAGCTGTAGAATCCTCCAGACTTTATGGCAAATGTATTTCCCCTTTCATACCCTTGGTCTGATTCTGATAGTTTGTGCCCCGCTTTGTATAGTGCAAAGAGAAAAATATAACAGCGCTATCCTGGAATACTCCAGTCTTACAAATAGAAACTGCAGAGTTTTATGACTGAAGAGCAACATGCAGCCCAAAAGCCCCAAGCTGAGTTTCACAAATCACCTTTTTTAAACCCAGGCCACAGATCCAGATTCAGGAGACAACGGACTTCTGCTGTACAGCTTAGTGAATAATCAAGCGAGCGAATTTGACATCGATGAAAATACAGGGCAGATTTTTACAGTTTCTGTAGCAGGAAAGGCTGGGACATTTTATCTGGAAGTCCAAGCTGAAGACCAAGGCACAAGAAGACTCACAGCCCGGACAACAGTCAACGTAAGGAAGATTGCTATTTATAGTCCTGATTTGCTTCCATGTCAAAACTCTGTATACAAGAAGGGGCCAGGTTTGGTAATGACAAAAAAATTACTTCATACCATACAATGAGACTGTCAGATACACCAGTATTTACTGCGTACTTTCAGGCCAGAATTATGAGGTTGCCACTTCCGTTGGCATGAAGGCTGACTTTTAGAGGACAATTATTTTATATTGGAGGTTTTGGGTTTGGTTTTTTCTTTTTTTTGAAAGTCAGTCTATGAGAGGTACAAACGCTTTAGAAAACCTTACATGTGATTTATTTATTTATTAGGTAACTGTTGATCCCAGTTCCAGTAACAACATTGTGGTGGTGGTACTTAATCAGAAGATCAATGTTGTTGAAAGAAACATTGCTGCAGTAAAAAGGTATTTTTGAAACCGTGAAGCTTATTGAGATATAATCTCTGACGACAAATTTAGAGTCCCTTTGAGATAGGGGTCTGACAGCCAACAGGGCAGGTGATAACAGCTGGTGCCCGTGAAAAGCTAGGCCTTCAACTTGATGTAGTTCAGAATAATTTGAGGGAATTCACAGGAATCCACCAGTTTTTACCTGGTAAGGCTTTGGCCCGAGCTGACAAATGGCAAAGAGGTCATTGGACTAGACTATTTAGAGCGGTCTCTCCCCACCTCAACGTTTCGGTGATTTTTAACAGCCTAGGATGAAGTTTTTCATGGATAGTAGGCTCAAGATACGAATGTGGAGACAGGATAAAAGCCAGAAACCAAACCCACCTTTGCTACAGATGAAAAATCCCCCTTGCAGCACGGCAGCAGAGCTTCTCAAGGGAAGTCTCAGCCCTGCGGTGCTAGGGGATTAGCTAGCGATGTGTGGATGGGCACACTACAATCAAAAACATATCTCGGCCTTTTGGGCATGTTAATGAAGACACGAGATCTTTTGTTTGGTTATACATAAACATGTATTGACATTGGAAATATTGCGTCCTCCTTTTTTGAGGGGAAATCACTTTGAAGGATGGAAAAATGAGTTTGTGACGTTGATGCTATTATGGCACCAGTTTCTTGTTGGTAAAAATTAAAAGGAAACCCTAGAGAGAGGATTATGAGACTGAATTTCCCTCCTCCCCACCTTTACTGTATATAATACTCTATAGGTATCACTGCCCGTATTTATAAAAAATGTCAAGCACAAAGTGAGCCATATGTCGCTTTGAAAAGCGCGACTAAATATGAGACACGCTATGCAAGACTGTTCATGAAATCTAGGTATAAGGGTTTGTTAACCCTTCCTTTCTCTAATTAATCGTTCAGTTATGCCAATGGCACCTATCTAAGAATTTTCAAACTACGTACAAAAGTTATATAGTGTCTACTAATGAGAAGTATCTTTGATAATCCTGCATTTTTACACGCTTAGATTAAAATACTAAATATCTGCAAAGTGTTGTATTAAATACTACTTTTCTATCACTTAATTTCCAGAGCAAAAGAATTTGTCAGTGCCCAGTTAATCTAAAACGTTTTCTTAATCTGATGGCAGGGTCCTGGAAGGTAAACTTGCATGGAATGTATACATCATTGATGTTTATTCCAGTGAGTTTGAAAGAAAAGCAAGAAGCAGCACTGATGTAACCCATGTAAAAATTACTGCTTTTGATGAGGCAAACCAGGAAGTATCTGCAGAAGATGTAAAAAGGTCTGTATGGCACAGTCTGTCTTCTGGGTGTCAGAGCTATGCAGCTAGGTTTTGTTTCGCTTAAAATTATTAATGTCTTGGACTGGACAGGTTGAGATCAAATAACAGTTTATCTGAGACTTATCTCAAGGATTAAATGGAACTTTTTGAATTCAGAAAGCTTTCGTTATTTATTGAGTTTGTCAAAAACATGAATAAGGCTGTTTAATTGTGCAAAATATATTTAAAAGTCGGTTTTAAAGAAAACTGAAGCAGAAAGAACATTGTTAAAACAGATATCGACTTCACTTCAGAACTGCAGAATGTTGATTAAAAACTTACATTTTAGGTGTATTTTACACTTGTTTCGTAACAACATGAATGCATATTCTTACAAACATTCTATGAAGGGCAGCTGCTATTTGAACACACAATTCCCAGACTCAACACCTCTCTTAAACCAGTAATTGTTTGTGGGCGGTATTACTGACGGAGTCTGTGGTCCCAGGAAGCACTCTGCATGGCTGAACCTTTTTCTCCGAGGAAAGCGCTATTGCTATCTGCGGCTGCCTCGATGCGGATTTAGAGGATGCTGACCTAAAATGCAGCATTTTAGTTCATAAGCACCAGGGCTGGTTGCTAGAAAACATGAGTTTTTCCCAAATGAAAGACATGACAAGTCTGTATTCTGTTTCTTTCTTCACTACTCTTCAAGTCAAAATGAAGGTCTGATAAATCATGAGCATTTTACTCTTCTGTCTTCAGAAAACTTAGGGAGCAGAAGAGTAACATTGAGATAGAACTGGAGAAAATATTTTCAACGCCTGTTACTGCTGCCATAGAAGAGGCTCCTGCAGACTCGGCAACTCCTGAACTCGTTGCAACGATCGTGCTCGGTGTTCTGCTAGCCTGCACCCTCGTAGCCTTCCTGGTCTATGTGCTTTTTACCATAAAAAGGAAAAGGTACAAACAGTTCGACTTTAACAATGTAATTTAGACTTACAGCTGATCAGTTTACTTTAAATGTCAACTTGAAAAACGCTTATCTGATAAAGTGCTGATATTTGCATGGAGTATTGCCCAAGATTTGCTATAAATCAAAATGCCTGGCGCCGTACTGTAGATGTTAGACACAGTGCACCTAACTGACAGTTGGCTGCTTCTTGTGCTTGTCACACAGCAACAGCAGAAACAAACACTTTTCAAGACAGAGAAACGTGGGTAGCAGAAATTTTAACTGTGAAGGGGGGGAAGTAGCTGTAATACAACCACATATATTACATATATATGTAACATATAGACCCCACGTAGGGTCTCCTCTAACCCCATGAATGCTGAAATCAAGGGGTGTTTTGCCGCTAACTTTGGTGGCAGCAGGACCACATAGTAGAGGAAAATGGATTCACTTCCAAGAGGGCAGCGGGTATTTACCCCGTCACCATTACGGGAAAACAGGAAATACTCCAACTAACCCCCAGAATAATACTGAAAATAAATGCCGCATATTAAACTTAGGACACAAATACTCCATGTTCTGTTTTTCACACAACTGTAAAGCCAATCTTCAAAAAGAATTAACAATTTTAATGTATTTATCATTTTCAGAAAGTGTGACGAACAGCCTTTGGTTACGAAGCAGGCTGAAATTATGGAGGGTATTGACCAAACTGGAAGTCTGAAAAGCTTAGAGACACTAAAGCACACGAATAATGTGTAAGTAGAATGTTGATATCACAAATTTATGAACAATAGCATATCAAAAGATGTGGTTCTAGTTTACTCCGGTAACACAGGATTTTCCTTGTATCTTTCACTAGTGTATAGGTCGATTTTATTATTTTTTTTAATAATAATTAAAAAGTTAAAAACTTTTTACAAGTTAAAAACTCTACACTTGAAGGAAGCTAACATCTTTTAATCTTGTATCGAAAATTACAAGGGCAAATTCCTACTTACTCGTTGGCAAATTGTTAAGCCTTATGCCAAAAAACCCCCTTCAGGATACAAGAAGCTACTTAACGTTCCCCTGGGGAAAATCCCAGTAATTCCGAGATCAGCATACGTGCTGCTCTCAGTTTTAGAGAGGCTACGATTTTTGTCACCGAACTATTTGCAGGCTCGAGGTGTTACGACTTCTCTTAACTCTCGTTCAGGAAAACTGATGTAATAGCGTTTGGCAACATGGAAGACACCGACGGAGGTGGTGCTGACAAAGACGTAAATCAGGCCGATGAAAAATGCCGTTACCTTGAGACGCTACTGTTAGATTGCAACAGTGACCATGAAGAACATGTAGCATCTGAAAAAGCCGCTGAGCCTAGATATGTAGATGCCCAGCCCACTGCAGAATTCACAACAAAACAGGTAATTAGCTTTTAAATTGCGAAGAATGGAGCGAAAGGTATTTTATCATCGCTCGTCAAATAATGGAAAGAATTATCAAAAAAAGTAAACCCGTGATGGAACCAAAAAAAAAATCTTATGTGAAGTAATGAAAAATCTTTGAGGAGGGGCTGTTTGTCCCTGCCTAGGAGAAGAAGGACTTTGTGACCCAGAAGCGATGACTCCCTTCCATCTTTTACAGAACGTGTTACAGTAAAGGGTTCTCACGTGCTGCTCCTAAAACTTGCAGCCCTAAAAACGATGCTTCAGAGACAGACTATGTATCGATCTAGATCTAAAGTTACATGACTTCTACTGCTCGGAATTTATCCACGCTCTACCATTTGTAGCTTTCTGCCTCATCTGCGTTACGTTTTCTTGCAGGATTGCTTTCCGACAGACACAAATCCGGAGTCGGCTCTTTCCTTAACACCTGATCCCGCAATGGCTGCCCCTGAAAAAGAAATAAAAGGAGTAAAATTTTCAGAAGTGGCAATTATTTTGGATGCGGAGCCTGAAGATGATGAGCCTAACGTGTTTTTTCGTCAATAAGGATGCTTGACGGAGAAAACTTTTAGGAAAACCACAGTGACGTTCATTGGAACAGTACAGAATTGAACGAGCAATAAGAATATGGGAACGCTACCCG